GGAACAATCATATGTAATAAATAGGGTAGCATGTGCTTTTGATTGCTTTATTAAGAGAACATTTGAAAATGTAGCATATCCCTTGCATACCCACGTTTTTGGATTGGAGACTATGCATGACCCACCACAACTCAAGTTTAAGTGCATCTCTCTCATGTATTTAATCCTGTTTCTTATATTCTTTATCGCACATATATGCAGCTACCTTTTTATTAATTGTCATGAAAAAATTGTGGGAAATTTTTAGGGTTTACTCTCATTTATTTTATTTTCTTAAAGTTTTGAACCAGCTTTCTTGTCCCACGGCATGGGATACATATAAATTCGTTTGTCAATATAGCATTTAAAGTCGCAATAATTGTTTTAAAGGTGACATGAAAATCACATTGGTGCACTTTTGACAAAATTATCATCGTAAATAGTAAAATGGATAGAAATTCAAATATAAAATTCATATAGATTTATAATATAATTGATTGATCTAATTTAATGCTAATTAAAGAAAATAAAAAAAATATTTATTTTAAGAATGCATAAAAAATAAAGAACATATTTTTAGAATTTCAAGAATAAGAATACAAATTAAAAATAAGAATTAAAAATTAATAAATAAAATATGTCAGAAATTAATTTTAATGACTTTTCTTACATGTATCTTTGTCAATTATTATTTTAATTTTAATAATTATTAAGTTAATTCAATAGCCAACAAATATATTTTAACCATAATTTCTTAGGCAAAAATTTATTATTTAAAAGAAATCTCAATTCTTTAGAGACGTTTGTTAAACAACCCACATTAAGATTGAAGACATAAAAATTGACTAATAGAACTTATCATATTCCTAGTAATAAATGTTATTTGTATTATTCTTCAAATTGTAGTTTTAAAGGAGTTTCTCAACCTTGATTAATTCTATGGGATCATGAGTGTAATTAAGCCAAACATGCATTAAGAAAAGAAAAATAACAATTAGCTAAATAAAAATTTTTAATGGATAAGAACAAAAAAAAGTTACATGAAGTAAAATAGCTATGTCAAACCCAAATAATAGATAACTTAGTCGCTCAAGGAAATTCGCTCACAAATGCAAATGGAGATAGTTGAGGATCCGTGATTAGAAGGTTGTCACTCCATTCTCTCTAATCTTTATAAGTATTAATTAAGAGCATGTTTATATGTGTTTTTTGTTTTTTTTTTTTTTTAAGAAAAAGTAAGATTTTGAAACATCTCAAATGTATGTTGCCTTCACTAGTGGATGTTGATTAATTATTTATATATATATATATATATAAAAGATTGTTGTCTATAGTAGTTTTTATAATTTTTAAAATAAGGTCAATATCAAATATCTTACCTAAGTTTGTGTATTTTATTATGTAGTTAATTTTTACATCATAGTTTGCCATCATTTACTAAATTTTTATTTATTTATCGATTATGGTTATTATTTAATTTCTTAATTTTCATAAATAGTGTGAATGATATCTAAAATCATTATTATGTCTCTCCTTATTGTTTTGAAAAACTTTATATTTGTGTGGATGATATTTCATTGTATATTTCAAAAGGTGTTTAATATATGATAAACTTTTTTTATGTTTAAAAATTATAAAAATATGTTTAGTTGGTCATAGATTTTTCTAGATATATTTATAAATGTTATAAGAGAATGAAAGATTTTTACTATATTAAAAAATCAAATAAAGGTAATATGATGTTTTTACATCTTTAAAAATGCTATTTTTACTTGGAAAAGTTAGTTTCACACTTATATACGAGAATAAATCCATGAAAACCTTTGGAAAAATCATTCCCAAAAATTAATATTTTTCTAAGAATGTTATTTATACCATTGTATCTTGACTTATTTGATTAATTGTATGATTAATTGGTTGAGTAAGTGTTATTGATTAGGGATGGTAAATATACTCGTACTCGCGAGTAATACTCGAACCCGTCTTGACTTTGACAGTAAATACCCGGTTTGACCGGGTACGGGTACGGGTACGGGTAAAATCTGATACTTTAAATCGGGTACGGGTACGGGTACGGGTATGTACTTACCTGCCCCGTACTCGCCCGTACCCATTCTCGTTTCTATTTTTAATTTAATACCCACTTTCAATTTAATTATATTAAAGAATTTTAATATTTTTTTATGTGTAATTATTTATTATAATATGAGATAGAGAAATAACTTAATTATAATTATAATATAATAAAAAATTAATTTAAAAATATCATATTTTTTTATAAAAAAAATAAAAATTTTGACGGGTACGTGTATACCCGATACCCGATACCCGATGGAGGCGGGAATGAGGATGAAAATCACATACCAGACGGGTTCGGGTACAGGAACGAGGATAGATTTAACTCGCGGAGACAGAGACGGGTATCATGAAACCCGTACCCGACTCGTCCCGTTGTCATCCCTATTATTGATTGCTAGTATTGTCGTTTTAGAACTCAATGGGTTAAGGAACTCTGAGAATTAAGTTATCTTTAAGTTGTAGGGTTAAGTTAGTTTAGCTAAACGAATGTTATATAAGATTTTTCTCATGGGTGGCAAAACGGGCCAGCCCGACCCGTTTTGGCTCGCCTCGCCAATGGCTCGCTAAAAACGGGTCAGGCCCGGCCAGCCCGCCAATAAAAAACGGGTTGAAAATGCTGGCCCCCCGCCCCGCCTAAGGATGGGTGGGCGGGCTGGCAGGCCAGTCCGCATATTCAAAAAAAAATTGCAAAAAAATGAAAAAAAAAATTATGTTCAAATAAAAAAAATGGAAAAAATATTATAAAGAAAGAAATCATTAAAGATAATTATTCAAAATTTCTACACAAAGATACCCCTTCAATAACAGTTTCCTTTCTTGATACTTTTATCGAAAGACTTGAATTACTACAAAATGATTATTTCATAAGTTAATTTGTTAAAATCTTATAATATTTCAATACTGTCATTCATCATGATATTGGACACTACCTAGCACCTGTAGCGCAAGCATGCAACAGTATTTGCAGTGGGAATACTCAAATCAATCTAATTCAAACGTAAATAGTGAAGTTATCTTCTTATAACAAGTAATCTCCTTACCTGTTGGGCCTGTTTTTTTTTTTGTTTTTTTGTTTTTTTTTTATAAAGCCTATTATTTTTATTGAAGCCCAATCACTAAATCACCTACGCGGGTTGGCGGGTTGTGACGGGCCAACCCGCTATTTGGCCCGCCGGGTTGGCAGGCTTGGCGGGGCGGGCTTGGCGGGTTGACGGGCTGAATTGATGGGCCTGGCCCGCGGGCCACGACCCATTTTGTCATCCCTAATTTTTTCTTAAAATATGAAACTCATAAATTTTTATTTTAATTAAGTTGGAGAGAAGATCTCTAGAGTCTGAAAGAACTCCCTTTCATTTTAAGATTTTTCTCTTCTTCTTAATTTCATATTTGTTTTGACCCATTATATTCATTTTATTTCTAAACTGTTTTTCAATATTTTTTTAAAAGAATAAACATATATTTTGAAAAAGTATAAAAAGAACAAATATACATATACAAAAAAAAACATATATTTCATTTTTCAAAAGAAAAGAATATTATTTCAAAAATGACTTTCATAAAGAAATAAATCATTTAAAAATACCTTCAAATAATACATGTTTATTTTGAAAAATAATTTTTAGAAAATAAAGAAGTGTAAATAAAATAAATAGGCTAATGATATACACACCTTTTATTTATATTTTTTTATCTTGTATATATAAGTACACCTCCTTTATTTTATTTTATTTCATTCAAATAATCTTAAAATATCCATATTTTTTTTATTTTTAAAATTTTTAATTTTACATCTCTGACTTTTAATTTATTATTTTTTTTTTCACATACCTCCTTCATTCTCTTTTCCAGTTTTCACATGGACTATCTTGTCTTTCTCTAGTTTATCACCTATTTCAGTGAGTAGTTTTAGTTCTTTGACTTTTATATTACTCACTTATTTTTTCACCTCTTTCACTATTTCACATGTACCCAAATCATAGAATCGGTAGGCACAACATTGTAGGTACGTCATCCATAGTTTATATCAAATTAGACACATATTTTTTTTTCTAACATTTCCTTTCCTTTCACCCCTCCAAAAACTTTAGTATTAAGTTTAGTGTTATGAAAAATACATTTTCACTATTCTAGAGTACTATGCAGATAGTGAAATCAATGAGAAAATTGAAAGAGAAAGGGAAAAAATTATGTAAAACTAAAAGAATTAAAATTACCTACCAAATAGATGAGGATGAAGAAAAATTAAGGAGGTGCATGTGAAAATAAGAAAAAGAGATATGTCAAAAAAATGTTAAATTAAATGTTAAGAGTGTAAAATTAAAAATAATAAAAATTAAGGATATTTTAAATACTTAATTATTTTTTTTTAAAAAAGGGGTATATTTGTAAAAAAAAAAAAAGTGTATATATCATGATGCAAATAAATAAGATTACAATGAATCTAAAGCCCAGCCCAATGCAAGGTTTGAATAAAAGGAATAAAAAAATATGTAGGGATATACGAGAGAGGGGTCTGGTATAAATAATAAATTGTAGGGAAGAACGCTATTCACTTTGAAAGGGTTATTAGGTTTAGAGAGACAACACCAATCGGCTCCGAGGTAACCCCTCTCTTCCTACTTTCTCTTACATTTCATTCACTTCGATTCCCTTTTCACTTTTCATATATGCTCTCTATCGAATTTTTTCTTTGCATGTTTCTCGCTCTCCAATCTCATCAATTCCCGATTCAACAATTCATCGATTTGTTCGTTTTCACCGACTTAGGTTTAAAATTGATTGCAAGTTAGAAATTCAGTTTATTTATCCACCATCCATTCCCGTGCATTTTAATTTTATTGTATTATTGCATATATATTATGTTTATATAAGATTAATTGTTTGTCGCCGTCGAGAGAAGGGTCTCTGTGTGGCCTCTTCCTTAATTAATTTCGAAATTTCAGTTCTTAATTTTGCAGCGCTAGAAGAAATCAACGATGCCTCGCTATGATGATAAATATGGCAATACCCGCCTTTATGTTGGACGCTTGTCTTCAAGGACTCGTTCCCGTGATTTGGAGCGTGTCTTCAGCAGATATGGAAGGTAATTTCCCTTCTTTTATCGTTAATCCTTATCCTTCAAAATATGCATAGAAACAGTCTTAATTATTGGTCGTGTGTCGTCTGTTTGGACGAGAGACTTTATTGTTGTTAGTTCCTCGATTGTTGCTCAGAGGCGGAAGGATGTTTTCCGATGTTCTGTCCCATCACTTTAATGTCTAAGTTATTTGATTTGTGCCAATTTATACTGAAAGTTGGCGTGAGTTGCCAACCATGTTTTATACCGAAAGTTGGGGGATGATAAAGAGGTTTCATCCTAGCTTGGTTTTGAGCTTGGATTTATATTGGTTATTTGTCATGTTATTTGGGGGAGCCAAATTGTCTAGGTGTCATTTTTTTTTTAACTTGAACGATCTTGTTGAAGGTTTCTGGGGTTTTGGCTAAACCTGGAGGTCTGTGTTGGGAGGTTGGCCTTGGTGGAATTGATGGAAATTCCTGTCGAATGTTGACTTTGGCGATTCTTTCTGTAATGTTATTGCGTGTTTTTTATGGAAATGGCAACAATCACAAACTGGTGTTTAGTTCCTCTTTGTGGGGCGAAGTATCATACAGTTCCAGTAGTTAAGTAATGATGGCCTTACTGTTTCTGGAAACCATTTCCGCAGAGTTCGAGGTGTGGATATGAAGCATGATTTCGCCTTTGTTGTAAGTTGCCATCCTTTCATTGTCTTTGTTTATTTTTTTTCATTTGACTTCAATTTCTCCTCATGCCATTGCTCTAAGGTGGTTTTTAGTATCTGCTAGGAGGAATTCAGTTGTAAATGATGGTAAGATTATTTGTTACTTTTTTGGTTTGTTCCTGACATCTTTTGAACAGGAATTTAGTGATCCTCGAGATGCTGATGATGCTAGATATAACTTGGATGGCCGTGACGTTGAAGGAAGTCGTATTATTGTGGAATTTGCCAAAGGAGTAGGAATTACTTACCTCTTATCTGCATAATTTAATATTATTTTTTAAGAATTGATTATCTCATTTTTAATTAACTATCAAAGGGATGTTTCCAATTTGTGCTCAAGTCTTGGGTTTATGCATTTGAAATTTAAAGAGTTCAGTCCTCATCTGAAAATATTTGCTCCATGGACATACATTTGTGTGGTTGTCGGATCTTATGGTTGCATTACATATTGGGGTTTGTTCAATATAATATTCTAATTAGGCTTTTGTAAATGACCTTAGTGCCACTAACTGCACATATTGTTCTTTCTAGTTTCTTTTCACTCATGGTGTTTTTAACATTAGTTCTGTTTTTTGATACTAGCTCTTATGATTATATGGTCCTTTTATAATCAAAACAATCCCTTGAATACTGATTGAAGATCACCTAGTTTTGTATTTATATTTTGTTTCTTTGGCTTCATTGTTGGCTTTTGTGTTATCATTCTATTCCTTTTGTATTCAAGTTATAAGTAAAATTAAATTTAAATTAGATGAGGATGGTCTCTTATGATTAGCTTTTTCTAATTGACTTTTATTACTGTATTGACTGTTTTCTTGCATACTTCAAATATTCAATATCTTCTGGACCTCGGAATTTATGATTTCATTGCTATTGTTCTTTGACTTGTGAACAAATTTGATTAGCTTTTGATTGCTTGTTAATTTTATTTTATCATCTGATCTCTGATTAATCAGGGTCCTCGTGGATCCCGGGAATACTTGGGTCGGGGTCCTCCTCCTGGATCTGGACGTTGCTTTAACTGTGGCATTGATGGTCATTGGGGACGAGATTGCAAAGCTGGGGATTGGAAGAACAAGTGTTACCGCTGTGGGGAAAGAGGTCATATTGAAAAGAACTGTAAGAACAGCCCCAAAAAGTTGAGGTAGGCCATAATGTAGTTTGCAAACTTATGCTACAATATGTTGATTTTGTTCTTAGCATGGTTATTGCTTTCTAATGGCTTTTATGAACGTTAAACTGATGATGTCAACTTGAATTATTCTAACAGCAGACGTGGACGGAGCCTTTCCCGCTCACCAGTCAGGTCACGCTCACCAGTCAGGTCACGCTCACCAGTCAGGTCACGTTCTCCTCGTCGTGGGAGAAGCCGGGATAGAAGCTACAGCCGAGACCGTAGCTACAGGTTAGATTCTATAAAATTGCCTCGTTTGTATAGTCAGTATTGTTTTTGAAATATGGTTGCTTGTATGCTGAGTTTTGGACACCTTTGTTCTTGCCAGCCGATCAAGATCTCCTGTCAGAAGAGAACGAAGCCCGGTTTCTGAAGATAGATCACAGAGTCCTCTGCCCTCCAAGACAAGGAAGCATAGTGCATCACCTGACCAAAGCAGCCCACCGAAGAGAGGTGACACATCTCCTGGTAATGATAGGTTGGTCACTCGGCAAGATGGGTCTGACTACAGTGATGGTCCTAGAGGAAAAAGTAGAAGTCCTGCAAGGGACCGCGATGAGGGCGGCTATGATAGCCCTAAAGCTAATGGGCGTAGTAGGAGCCCAAGCCGGAGTCCAAGGGATGATGACAGGAGCCCCATTGATGAAGATGATGACAACCACCGCCACTCTCAGTCACCTTAAAAAGTATTTTTCTGATTAACTGAGGTCAGGATGGGCTGTGGAATGATTTGTATCAGCTTTGTTTATAAAATGCACTGCGGTTTAATTATGTGACAATCTATTGTTTGAGAAGAACGGTTTTATGTATGCTATTTTTAAGATTCTTGCTCGTTAAGCAACAAGTATGAATTTGTTTCAAGTGTTTCCATAATTTAAAGCAGGAGTGATATCAATTCCATCCAAATTCAAATAAATGGATGGAATTTAAAAGGCGTATATTTTTTAGGAGTTTGGATTGTTTTGAAATCGATTTAAATTCTGTTATGCAGAAACTGGTTTTTAATAACCGGTTTGAGAAATCAGTTGTTTCAAACTTGTTTGTAAGCCAGCTTTTAGAAATCTAATTTGGGGAAAAAGGGTTTTTGACAAACTATTTTTTTAATTAAAGCTATTTTCTAAACTTTTGTTGCCAAACATGGTTCAAAGCCGGTTTTCAGTATTGGTCCTAACTCGGTTATAAATCTCTTTTGTTCTAAACCGGTTTCAAAATCGTTTTTGTTTCTAACCAGTTTCTTAATGCTGAATCTTGTGTTAGATAAAAGGCAAAATCAATCAGGATAGTAGTGAAAATATTTTTAATGCTATTTTAAACCATTTTTGTAATGGTTTTTGATAAACTGTTTGTTTTGTTCCAAGCTGCTGTCTAATTTGGTGGCATAACCGGTTTAAAACAGTTCCATTCAAATCCGGTTTAAACTGGTTTCGTTTCAAACCTGTTTGAAAATTGGTTTCAACCCAAGCTTATTCAAAAACTGGTTTTGTTCCAAACATGGTCTAAATTTGGTTTTGATTCATAGCGTGTTTGATTCGGTGTTAATAACGTGATTTTTCACGTCAAATTGGAAGCAAATAGTTTTAATTTTCACGTTTAAGACAGAATTGTGAAAATATATTATGAAATGCTCAAACAAACATGCACTCAAACTGGTTCAAAAATCGGTTTTGTTTCAAAACGATTTTTTCCCCCAAACTGTTTTGAATACTGGTTTTTGTTCCAAAACGGTTCTAAAAGCGTTTTTGTTTCAAACTGGTTCTAAAATCGGTTTCAAACCAGTTTTAAACTCAAACCGGATTTTATTCTAAACTGGTTTTAAAACTGGTTCTTTTGATTGCCAAAAACTAGTTTTAAACAAAAGCCACGATCTTAAAAAAGTTAAAACATCTTTAAACCATTTTGAACCAGTTTCAAACAAAACAAAACTAAAACCACCAGTTCTGAAACCGGATATATTTGGTGTTTGCAAAATTGTAAAAATATCTGAATAGTGTCGTTGGTTTGAATTTCTTTTTAATCTTTATAATCTTTATAAGTTGTTAAACGGATAGACATGTGTTGAGACACATAAAATACTAAAGGAGTTGTGTGTTTTAAGTAGTTCCATTGAGGATTTATGTGGAACAATATGAGAAGTGTTGTTGATCTATGTAGTTGAAATGACCAACCGAATAAAGTATAAACACACATTTAGTGTTGTAAAATAATGTTGTGATAGATTTTTATCCAAATTATTTTATCTTGACAAAAATACTAGACTTTAGAATTAAAGTGACGAAACTTGAGAAATCAATCTAAGTATTTTCTTCTACAAAGTACAATTCGAAACATTAATTTTACTATCGTAAAAAGTGCTTTCTGAAATATTAAAATTAGTGATCTAGAAAGTACTTTTTAGAAGTGTGTAATTTTATATACTTCTAAAAAATATTTTTCAAAATACTAAATTTAGTATTTTGGAAAATACTTTCTAAAACTTATGAAAAATTGCTTTTCTAGAATACTAATTATAGTATTTAGGGTTTAAAAAAGTGTTATTTTGCATACTTTTGTAAAATAATTTATGAAATATTAAATTTAATGTTCTGAAAAGTATTTTTTAAAAATATGTAAAAAATATAATTTTAAAAAGCTTTTTGAATATCTTTTCTATAACAAAATTTGATATTAATGTTTTTGGAAGCGTAAAAAAGAAGCATAGGAAAAAAAATGTATATCTAGATTAACAAAAATTATTGAAAAAATTGTATATATTTATGATGTTATTGTGCACTAATTTTACGATTTAAGTACATGTGATAAGTGAAAAAAAGAAAATAACGTAAAAATTAAAAGAATTAAAATTATTTATTAAAATAAGAAATAAAAAAAAATAGAATGATGCATATAAAAATTGAAACAGAAAGGAGGTATGTTAAAAATAAGAAAAAGGTGATAAATTAAAAGAGAAGAAGATCTACTTTGAAACTTGAAAGGGTTAGGTTTTGGGAGAAACACCAATCCACTTCCAGGTAAATCTTCTCTTCCCACTTTTCTTAGATTTCAATTTGATTCGATTCTCTTTTTGTTCTCTCTTTACATCAATCTACCTGTCCTCTAATCTTGCCAATTCCCGATTCAATATTTTCTTGATTTGTTTCTTGTCTCCGACTCATCATTTATTCTCTATCCGTTCTTGTGTATTTCAATTTTATTGTATATTTGTTATGTTTGCACGATTAATTGTTTGTCATCGTTGAGAGAAAGGGTCTACGTTAAGCCTCTTCCTTAATTAAATTCGAAATTTCAGTTCTTAATTTTGTAGAGTTAGAAGAAATCAACGATGCCTTGCTATGATGATAAATATGGTAGTACCCGTCTCTATGTTGGACGCTGGTCTTTGAGGACTCGTTCCCGTGATCTGGAGTGTGTCTTTAGCAGATATGGAAGGTAATTCCCCTTTTCTTCTCATCAATCCTTATCCTTCTAAATTGTTCAGAACAATCTCAATTATTGCTCTATATATACAATCTCATCCTTTTCCAAGAAAAAAAATATGTTATTTGCTTGTAAAGAAGCTTCTTCTTGTTGTTGTTGTTGGTTGTGTTTTTTTATAATATTTTTCATGATTTTTTTTTTCATATCATGCTTTGCCGTGTGTCTATTTGGTTGAAATACTTTATTTTTATTAGTAGGTCATTATTTGCTTAGCGTCGGAAGGATTTTTTCCGTTGCCGTGTCCCATTGCTTTAATGTCTAAAGTTATTTGATCTGTGTTAATTTATGTATGGAATTGTCAAGCCTCTTCGATTCATCTATATTGAGTACATTGACAAGGAGCTGGGATGTTTTATGCTGAAAGTTGGGGGATGATATACAGGTTTTTTCCGAGCTTTCTTTTGAACTTGGATTTATATTGGTTATTTGTCATGTTATGCGTGAGAACCAAATTGTCTAAGTGTCATGTTTTAACTTGAACGATCTTGTTGAAGGTTTTGGGGTTTTGGCTAAACTTGGAGGTCTTTGTTGGAAGGTTGGCCTTGGTAGAATTGATGGAAATTCCTATCAAGTGTTGACTTTGGCGATTTTTTCTGTAATGTTATTACATGTTTTTTTTTTATGGAAATGACAACAATCACAAACTGGTGTTTAGTTCCTCTTTGTGGGACGATGTATCATATAGTTCCAGTAATTAAGTAATGATGGCCATTCTATTTCTGGAAACCATTTCTAGAGAGTTGGAGATGTGGATATGAATTATGAAGCATGATTTCACCTTTGTTGGAAGTTGCCACCTTTTCGTTGTCTTTGTTTATTTATTTTGCTTTTCAATTTCTCCTCATGCTTTTGCTACAAGGTGGTTTTTAACATATGCTCGGAGGAATTCAGTTGTAAATGATGGTAAGATTTTTTGTGTTACTTTATTGGCATGTTCCTGACATCTTTTGAACATGAATTTAGCAGGTCACGTTCTCCTCGTCGTGGCTGAAGCAGGGATAGAAGCTACAGAAGAGAACGAAGGCCAGTTTGAGAGGATAGATGACAGTCCTAAAGCCTCCAAGATAAGGAAGCACAGACCAAAGCAGCCCACAGACATATCCTGGTAATCATAGGTTGCTCACTCGGCAGCAGCAAGACAGGTCTGACTACAGTGATGGTCCTAGAGGGACCCTGACGAGGGCGGCTTTGATAGCCCTAAAGCTAATGGGCCTAGCCGTAGCCCAAAGGATGATGATAGGAGCCCCATTGATGAGGATGATGACAACCACCGCCACTCACAGTCACCTTAATGAAGTCAGGACGTGGATGTGGCCCAATTTGTATCCTGCTTTGTTTATAAAATGCACTGCAGCTTAATTTTGTGACAATTGCTTATGAAGAACGATTTTATGTGTGCTATTTTTCAGATTCTTTCTGGTCAAGCAACATGTGTGGCTTGGCTTACCTAGAATATGAAGTGCATGAATTTATTTCAACTGTTGCCATAATTTAAACCAATAGGAATTATTGTGAGAAATTTAATTCTGGCATGTTTTGAATCCTTTTAATTCCAATGATAAAGATCTAAAGGTTTTTCTATTTTTTTTCTTAATTTTGTTAACTATGTTAATTAGATCAACATAATATGAATCAAAAAATATTTATTGTTTTATATAAATATTATAGTTTCTTATGATTATATATATATATATATTATTTTTAATTTTTAGCATATTATGAACAATTGTCTTTAATAATCTTATTTTACTTTTCGATTCATCAATTTTCTGTGAAAATTATTTTTTAATATTATAGTTAAATTTATTTAGACATCTATAATATATTTTTAATTGTTATTTTTATATTTTAATTCATTTTGACTATTTTTTAATATATCACAACTTAACAAACCTTGATTTCATCTTTAAATGCAAAAATAATGTATTAAAAGGAAATTATAAGTATTTATATAAATAAATGATACATATTTTTAAGAAGTGGGATATTGAAGGCGAATTGTTGAACTAAAAAGTAAGAATATCATATTTTTCATATATGAAAGATTAAAATAAATTAATATAATTATTTTATTTACATAAGTAATGATAAAATAATTATACTACTTAATTGAATTATGTTCTTAAAAAAATTTAATTATCATAATTTACAATTTAGAGTATTTATTATCTTTAATTATTTTAATTCAAATGATCTTTGATTTCTTAGAGTATAGTAATTATTTTTTTTTTTGTTGGCAATGTCACTACAAAATTAACTATTTTTAATGAAGTATACTGTATTTTTATTCATACTTTATTTATTTGTTTTTATTTGGTTTCACTGGGTTATAAAAGGTATAGTTTTTGCTAAATGGTGTTGTAAAGAAGTGAATGAATAATGGAAAGTTATTCGGAAATCATGTTGCATGTTCATCAATACTTTTTAAAATAAATTTATTATTGATAACCAATGTTCTAAAACCATTGGTTAATATTTATCTTACAACATATGATTTTATTTTTAATTTATTTCTAGTTTTTAAATATGTGTAAGTTATAGTATTTTTTTTATATCATTTATAACATTTTTAAAATGGAATAAAATTAAAATCATATTTTACAATTAAAATTAAAAGTAGAAAATTTAAAGAAATGGTTCCTTAGAATTTTTGAAAAATATATAATTGTTTTTTTAATAATAGGTAGTTTATTTATTTATTTTTTATGATCAAATTAAAATATTTTTTACTTTATATAAAATTTGAATTTGTAAACATTTTTAGAATACAAGAAGCAGAAGTACTTCTGTAACTGTTTTTATAACGTCGCAAAATTGATAACCAAGAAGTCGTGTACATCCCGCAAGTGTTTTGAAGACTTATGTTTGACGTTGAGGTGGCAAATTCCATCACTCGCCTGCAATTTTTTTCCCTCTCTATATCTCAAAATAAGCAGGATGTTTTAGAAGGACATCCGACCTAAAATGGACAAAAATTGTCACATGCCAGTCAAGTGTTCTGTCAAAATTTCACATAGCTACGAACACTAATATTTGACAATTTTGGAGTGAACATTAATCGTATGAATCATTTTGCATGATGAAAACTTTAAAGATTATCTTGCACGTTTTCTTTTAAAGATTAAAATGGACGTGATAAAATGTAACATAGTATAAGTTGATTTTCAAGGGTCTTCAAGAATTGTGCAAAGTGCAGAAGATCATGTGTTCATAAAGCATATTGCCAATCTAAAGATCAAACGCCCTGTTCTCTTCATTCCCATTTCACAAAATTTTCATCTGCTTCAAGTGTTGAATAAAACAGCCACATATATATGTGTATATGTACAGGTAACATGAGCAATATCTTATAAACTATCTTATCGTGTAAGTTCCACTTCCAACTAAAAAAATATTTTCTCATCCATTTTCAAAAACAAAATTGTGAGGTAAATCTACTGTACAGGAGGGACTTTGTTTGCTGTGTCATATTATAGTGCCAAGGCCGAGCTCATCCTCAATGTCATCTGTGTCTTCAAATAGCTTCAAAAACCGAGCCTGATCTTGCTCCCTTTTCTTCTTTTGCCAAAACTTGTATGCACCCACCATTCCCAGAATCAATACAGTTGAGATCAAAACACTTAGCAAAACAATAACTGCCACATTCAGTCCTTTTTTCTTATGTTTCACGGCAGCAGGTGCTGAGACAGAAACTACACACACATTTTTTGCAAACATAAAATTGTGGAGATTAGCGAGTAAATAAGTAAAGATGCAAGCATAAATGAGAAAAATAATTTGGAAAACAACATGGAAGGTTATCTCAGAAGGGCAAGGAAGTGGAACAAACTTGATTCGAGCAATATCAGTAATTCGCAGATCCACAAGGACAAAATGGATCAACATTGAAGGAAAAAAGACTTTTGATAAAAGGTAATACTATCAATAATAATCAAACCTTATCCCACTAGGTGTGATCAGATCACAGATAATAATAATATTGAAGATACTTGGCATACAAATTTTGAGTTTAAGATAGATAATCATATGCACCTTGTGTTCAATTAATACCATTTAATCCTTCTTCAGTTGGTTACGGGAAAAAAGTCGGGATAACTTTTTATTTCCTTTAGATTCTTAACTAGATTATCCGCTATACTTAATTTCAATACACAGTTCATCAAGAACAAGAAACCCCAACACAATATACAACAGATAATTGAGGTTACTTTCTCTCTTTTGCCATAATTGAAAAACTGAGTCATAAACACCGTATTAGAGAATAAAAAACCATTCATCAAAGTTGAAACTGATTACTTTTGAATTTTGATGAGTTTATGATTGTTGCATTGGCATCATATATGTCACAAGACTCACTTCTTTCACAAAATTGTCTGCAAAGTCTAATAGCACAATAGCGGGAAGAACTAAGGTTGCAAGAAACTCACCACCAGCATAAAAAGACAAGCACTCTGGGCACAGAAGACTAGCATTGAATTCTTTTTCCTTGAAGTGAATGTATCTTCCATCAGGGGCAGTAAAATCAGAAGGACACAGTTCCCATTCGTCAAACACATCATCTGAAAGAATTTTATCTTGCTCATAGAATCCACAGCGCTTGCACTTTTTACCTGTGAAATTAGTCAAAGGCTGGACCCACAAAGCAAAATCTCAGTAGTTAACACTTCTAATTACAAATATAAAGCCACTTGAATTTAATGACAAAGCTTTCAGGTTTCAAGTTCACAAGATAGCTGTTTTACTTTGGTAAGTAATATAGATATAAATATATGATATAATCAGATGATCATAACCAATTTATCACAAACCATTTTGTTACCTGTGCTAAAAGATGCACACCAGCTCATCATAACCAAATAACTACCTGAAAAGTGCAACATGACTGAACAACTACCTAGCAGTTACTTTTCTGTAATTTTAACTGTACTTAGAGCTATTATAGGATGCAGCTTAGCTCAGGCAATTGCATACTGCAATAGTCCATATCCATATAAATACTGTACAAGTGACATTTTGCTGAATAATGAGAATTATAAATCCTTTGGTTTAGTCACTCCTCTTTTCTCTGATCACTTTATGATGACATGGATCGCAACTCACTCAAGTTCATCAAACACTAGCAACAATGCAAATAGCAATGGAATCATTGATCCTCATAGAATGCATTATGTCATTACTATGTTCATCCAAGTGATTAAGCATCTGTTGTGGTGATTCCCCCATTAAGTGGAGCAAACTAATGAAGCCTGGGTCAGAAACCAGATCAATGCAAAGAGCATCGAATGGGAAGAACTAATTCAGATCTGTTGATGGGAGTATTGAGGTTCAATTGGAGGCAGATCTATGTTATCAATCATAGGAGAGAAGTAATAATCTGATCCGTTCTTGGATCATGAATTTGGTTTCACCTCATATAGCACAAAGCATCTTTTTATTTTATTTTATAGAGAATGCAATTGAAGTGTGGAAGGACATGAGAATATGATTCTCTCAGGCAATCTAGTTCTCATATCTGCTCTTCAGCAACAGATAAATGGATTGAACTTGAAGCAAGGCTTGATGTCAGTGATTGAATTTTTCAGAGTTGAAGGTTCTATGGGAGGAACTTGATAGCGCTATAGACCAGTTCCAACTTGTATTTCTTTTGATTTTATGTTCCTGTACACATGTTTTGACTTCAAGATAACGTCATCCAGTTCTTCACAGGATTGAGTAACCAATTCTGAGGTAAAACGGATCCACTTCCACAACATAGTGGAGTTTTTTCCATGGTATTGCAGCAATAAAGGCAAAAAAATCTAGCTAATCTTGATGAGTCAAAGGTTCTGGTCAGTGCAGGTGATACTCAAGCCACAAGGTTGATGAAGAGGACTACAGGAGCAAATAGCAACTAAAGTGGAAGAAACTCAAACAAGGTTTGTACAAACTGTGGGAAAACTGGACAAACCATTTAAACATGCTATAGAAGGCATGCTTTCCAACTAAATTATGGGAAAGGTATTCAGCCTGTAGCAAATGCTACAACTGCTACATTTTGATACATGGGGACCCTTCATACTTTTCCATTGCATCTATTCATGGACACACATTTCTTGACTGTATTGGATGCTTTCAGAAGATTTGTATGCATTTTGCTGTTGAAATCCAAAGCTGAAGTACAGCAGGCCAGCAACATATTTGGAACTTTGTTGTTATGGCTGAAACTCAACATGATGCATGAGTGAAATTGATTGGTACAGATAATGGGCCTGAATGTATGATACATCAGTTTTATGCATATAAAAGAATAATTCACCAAACATCTTTTGTTGAATCTCCCCAACAAAATGGGAGAACTGAAAAGAAACAGCAACATATACTTAATGTGGGTAGAACATCATACCAAACTTTCTAGCTTGCAAAATGGGAACAAAGGAATATCTGTTGCTAGATTTGAATAGCAAAGAAGTCTTCTATATTCTGCAGTGTGATTTTCCAGAAAAATAGCTTGTCCTAAAAGGTTGACATTGTAATCCCCTCCCTTCATACTTGGGAATATCACTTTGTACAACCACACACAAGCTCCCCTCCAATACTAATAGTGTAGCAGTTGAATCTTCTGAGTTACCTAACATTGCACTGGCTGAACCTCCACCACGAAGATTGACTCAGGCCAAGACACCAGCCACTTCACTTTGTTGAGTACATAAGCAGCTCCTCAACTGATATGGCAAATTCTTGTTCCATAAGTGTAGTCCATCTCTTTCTAGTCATGTTCCCAGTGCTAAATTCTCCCTTTCCCATTGTTGTTTTTCTCTTTCAATTACCACCCATGTTGAACCATAATCCTATGCCGAGGGAAGTGAATAAGAGTGCTGGAATCAGTCTATATAGGTTGAGCTTGCAATTTTAGAGAGCAAAGGGACTTGGGACTAGTTAATCTTCCTCTTCATGTGATAGCTGTTGATAGCAAATGGGGATATAAAATAAAGCATCAAGCAGGAGATATAAAATAAGGATTGAGCTGATGGATCTATTGAGCAACTCAAAGCTCAACTTGTGGCCGAAAGTTACAATTAGGTTGAAGGGATGGATTAGTTTGATACATTCTCCATGCTTGCAAAGTTGAAAAATGTTCACATGATTTTGGCACTAGCATCCATCCATAGTTAGCATTTACATTAGTCGGATGTAAACAATACTTTGCAAGATGTCAAGATGCTTGTTCCTCAAGGTGTCAACTCTACCAAGCCCAATCAGGTCTGCAAATTGTTGAAATCCCTTTATCAGCTAAAGCAGGCTAGCCATAAATGGTATGAAAAGTTGACCTCAATGTTATTTCCACATGGATATACTTAGGAAGCCTATAACCATTCCTTCTTTGTCAAGACTTATGGTACTTATTGCAAGACACTTCTAGCTTATGTAGATGATATCGTCTGTGTTGGAAATTCTTTGACAGAGTTCCAACACATCAAGTCTGTCTTTGACTCACCTTTTAAGATTAAGGATTTGGGACTACCCAAGTATTTCCTTGGTTTGGACATTGCTTAGTCCAAACAAGGCATTTCACTTTGTGCGAGCAAATATTATTTGGACCTTGTTTCTAAATCTAGTCACTTACAATCCAAGCCAGTTCAAACACCATTTGATTCATCCATTAAGCTACATCAAGATGAAGGAAAACCTTGTGAAGGTGTTCCATCCTATAGACATCTCATAGGGAGATAGCTTTATCTTGCCATGATAGGGAACCAATGGTTAAGAATGTGTAGTGTACACAAGGCATAGAGGGGGAACACATTTGTAACCGAATAGTCTTTAAATAGTGAACGGAAAGGTGTTAGTAGGGGTAGGCAATTATTCAAAAGTTGTTAGGAGAGTAGAGGTCTCTCGAATACCTCATTGTATTTCTCTGGTTGTCTTGATCAGGAGGATTACTTAATAATACATAAAGGCTTATGCTTAAATTCTTTTTCATCTGGTCAATCTTTCTTAAATCTTTCTATCATATTAGTTGGAACCTATCAACTGGTATTTGAGCAGAACGATTCAGCCACAAAATTGATGGTTCGCTAGAAGATGGATGCAAGAATTGAAGTGTTGGATCGGGAACTTCATGAATTGGAGGGAAGAACACAAGCTTCGCTGCAACAAATGGAAGATCGACTGTTACAAAGAATTTGTGAAACGTGAGATGTTGGGTAATTGCGAAGGTAAACCCTAGTCCAAGGGCAAATGGGCAACCCATGACAATAGTGCTAATCTTGGAGGAAATGCGCATGGGGAGAACTTGAACCAAGGAGGCAACAACAATTCCAATTTCATACAAACGAATTCAAAGATTATGAAAAAATTCAAAAAAAAATGGAATTACGCATTTTCGAAGGAGAAGATGCACCAAGTTGGATTGGACGAATCGAGAAGTACTTTCACCTAAGAAATGTCAATGAACAAATGGAAGTCATTCAGGTGGCAATGGAAAGGGAGGCACTTTCTTGGTTACAATGGTGGAAATCTTGCACCGAGAATCTTACATGATGGGAGATTGAAGAAGCAATCTTGAAAAGATTTCAATGACAATGGTGAAGAATTCATTTGAAATCCTCCAAGGCTTGAAGCAAGAAGGCACAATGAGGGAAATATGAGGAAATTTGAGGTATTAGCAGGCCCATTAAAGATCAACCAGCTAGACCACCTGAGTGGGGTTTTTGTCAATGGTCTCAAGGAGGAGATTTGAGCAGTGGTAAGGATTAATAGGTCATCTTCATTGAAGGAGATGATGGACATGCATTATTGATTGATGAAAGGAATGGGATCAGCGACAAGAAGAGTCGATATTAACAACACGGTACCCAAATTCCATAATCAAGGTGGAGGAAGTCAAACAAGTTAACCAATAGAAGGTCGCATGCATACAATGGATTTTGTAGGCTTCAATCAGTTGATGGATGAAACAAGGAGGGAATACAACACAGAGCAAGTGCAGAAGAGAGGAGTATCATGAAAAGATGAGGAAAGGTCTTTGTTTTACATGTAATAAGAAGTATTTGCCAACACATGTATGCAAAAAAAAAATGCTTAAGATCATGATTATGGAAGATGGTGATGGAGAGAACGAGGAAATTGTTTGGGATGTGGGCTTAGCTCCTTGATTGTGACAATTCATGGGAAATAATTTAAAATATGCAACATCACTTTCCAGATTTTCACCTTGAGGACAAGGTGAAAGTTTTAGGAGGGAGTATCGATAGGATACCAATGGTTAGGAGAGTGTACACAAGGCATATTAGGTGTGTGTGTGTGTGGGGGGGGGGGGGG